TTATATATAGGCGAGATAGAGTCATGTGGATATTTTCTGCATGTCACCGAAAGAGCCGCTGAAGTGAAGCCGTGCGGATCTTCCACCTGCCCCCTACCCTACGGGATCGATCCTATTGGTCTTCTAAGAATCCAGAAAAGAATGAAAATTTCGAGGCTTTTCCACAATCTGCCTAACGGTATACCGCACCAATGAAATACGGTTACGGTCAAAAATGTAAGGGTTTTGGTTTTTTTTAAACGATAAAATTTGTTTTGATGACCACTCAATCGGTAACGTGCAAGGCAAATCAGAATATAGTCTATTCAACTCAGGATGCCGGTCACTAAGGCCGAGATCAGGTTCAAAAGCTTCGTCATTAGATCCATCTCAGTTTCAACAGACTGCTTCGCCAAAAGTATTATATCAGAGCTACCATTAGCTGGTTTTGAAAAGCTCATCTCTGGAGATTAGTTTTATTACTTAAAACTTACCACACCCCTGGAGGGCTTCCTCGTGTTTGACTTCCGCTACGATGGGCGCACTCTTTTGTCACCTTTACCAGCTCCTCTCTATGAGTTTATTTATCCGTTCAATGCAGTTTACAGCGCGATTCCCTCTTCCCACTTTTTCTTCTCTACATAACGGCGGTACTTCACAGTTGTGTTTTCTCTTGATGGTAGTATTTGCCTTTTTAGATATCTGTTGTTTTTGTAGGATTTCGCGTTCTGAAAGCAAGCTGGAGACAATAGGTAGCATTTGTGATGTGGCAGCTACGAATGACCGTCAGTTTCACTTATTCACGATTACATTCTGTGTAACACAACTGATTCTTTCAATTTATTGTAATGGTTCTAGAGAATCCGCCATCTCAGGAGTCATCCACACAGTTGGAGGAAATTTTGAAATCGGTTGTGATTCCTTCGGTAAGAGATGCTCCTATTAAACACCTTGTCTTTCTTATGCTGTTAGATATAGCTCAAGTTAAGCCGATAGACGAAGAACCTACGGTCAATTCTTTAACTGCTGATTACGGCGAGCCGATGGAAACGTCCGCTCCTTTGAAGAAGGTTTATCTCGGAATTTCTTCAGTAATTTTTCTTGAGTATCTATTGTTCTACTGTTCTTCTACTATTGTCATAATTCTATGTGATCCTTGTGTAAATTTTATTGGGAAAACTCCAGTAGGTCTAGTAGATCTAGTAAATCTGCTCATTTTCGAAGTTGCAAGATCAATTTCGAGAACAAATTTTTGGCTGTTAAGAGATCTGTAGGAGCGCTAGGTGGTTTTAAGATTAGTTCTCGCGTTTACTATCGTCTTTTGGAAATCTCAGTTTTAGAGGAACTTGATTCAGGGAAAAATTCCACGTGTAGAACAAGCTGAATACCGTCCCGTTCTTCGCTAACTGCTGAGCACTGCTTTCTAATATGTTTCTTTCACTTTGCTGTTGGATTCCTAAAACGGAAGTTGCATGCAGATGATTAAATAAAAAAGAGGGGTCGCAAAAGCGGAATTAAATGTCAGTTTGAGTTTGACCGCTAGTTTGACCTCGAATTGCTGCTCCCGATCTCGTTCCCAAGTAGGCTCAGTTTGTCTTGTGAGAATCTAATGGGGAGAAGATTCGTGATGCCAATACATCTAACACATTTATCGAACCAACGCACATAGTGTGTTTCCGGTTTGCCTTAGGCTGATGTCTTATTGCGAGCGAAGGCGCGATTTACACGATTAGCAGCGATCATCGATATTTAGTGACCGATATCTTAAAAAAGGCCTCGCTCGGAGAGTGTACACGTTTTTAGCTCCGGTGGATAACTGGCGGCCTCTGATGCGGGGGACGGTAAGCGCTTGACTGTTATCGAGCAAGATAGGTGCGATGGCACGATTGTCTGAAAGTCTGGCGTCGACCTCAGAGAGCTCTTCTGTTATATTTCCTTGGATTCTCGTTCTATTCCTGCCATGATCAATATTAACTCCTCAATTCTGAAATTTTATATGCCACAAGTGTTAATTCTTTCAGGCATTGCAGAGATGTCGCGGCGATGCTGCATATATGCGTCAGATGTCATGTGACGTTGTGATGACCGAAGTGCAGGGGTGTGTCAGCAGTTCATTGGACCTCAAGTTTCTAATTCAAAAAAAAAAAAGTATTCAGATTGGGAATTGGCGGATGTTGATCAGATATCCCTTGCTGGTGGATATGTTTTATCTTCCATTCGAATGCGGTCGTAAGGCGTCTGATATACTTGAACTGTTTTACTGGCTTTACGAAAACGCTCTGGTAATGGATACGTCGAAAGAGTAAGATATGCAGCTATTACACGGCAGTTCGAAGTCCTGTTTGTGCAGCTGTGATGATAAGCATTTTCCGAGATACGGAATGCACGGAATGCGGAGCGAGTGGCGTCGTAGATTTGATGAGTTGGAGAACACTGTCCAAACTGTGAATAAGTTCTTCAAATACATCGTCGATTGTCCGAACAAGGTAAGCTTGAGCGAGTTCTAGATGCGTGTCTGTTAGTGGGTTTGGTAACGTTGATAATCCGAAAAATCAAGGTTCAGTGCCGATGCGTTCCGCAAGGCGGGTTATCTGACCTAACAGGAAAGGGAAGGCGGAATGTTCATGTACTATTCCTGGTATTTCCCTAGGTGTTACCGTTTTCATATAAGGCAATTACAACTTGGAATGGGATGCTGCGTGATTCTCAAGGGTGGTTTTGTCGTCATTGGGTTGTGGGAGAAGGGGATGTGTATGTAAGCGGGTCAGTAGCGAGTTGCGGCGCTTGGTCAGGGAGACGGTGAACCACGACTCGAGTAGTGGGTGCTGATTCGAGCGTACGGAGTTTCGGAGCTACTCATCAATTCATTTAGAAATTCAGGTGTTGGGCTGAAATTTGAGGATTAACGAAGTTATGGGGTTTTGGGAGGGCGGTATTGTTAAAGCAACAGTCCAGGCAGGGTTTCAACTACTTGGTCATTAGGCGGTCAAAACATGCCCCAGCCCAACTAAAGTTTATAGGAAATGTCTTTAATTTCAAAACCTACCTCTAAAATGCGCTGGAAGGGGTCGAAGTCCTCTTGGAGGGGGCGGATCACCCATAAAGAGGCGGATCGCCCAACATACGCTGTGCAGAGTCCGCGCTTGACTAGCGATCGTTGCGGGACCGCCGCGCTGTATGAGGTCGATTCCATAAGAACGCAATTGAAGCGCTTCAATTTCGATTGCTGGCAAGTAGTTATGTATTTGCAAGCATGCAGCTATTTGCCAGCAGTTGCAATTAAAGCGCATGTACTACGGGCAGGTTCGGACAACTCGTCCAACACACGTCTCCCTAAACGGCAGGGCATGTCCCTGTCTAAGCCCCAGTTGGGCGTTTTCTTCACTTTTTCTCTTTACGTTCGACCACTTTTCACCTAAAACTTCCATATAGGTGCTTTTGGCCCGCAAATTCGTTCCTGGACTGTTGCTTTAAGTCAAAACCACCATGCTATGATGATGTCTCAGCCGTGGTATTTCGCAGCTCGTCTGATTAAAAGGATAAAGGATAAAGCATTTGCCGTTGATCAATCCCGTTTTGGGATGCGGCACGCATTCTACTTCCATTTGTACATTCGCAGTGGCATTTGAATGCGATGTGGCCTATACAATGACTTGCGGGGGCCAGCCGATGTTCAAGTCAGTGTTTTTATCCTCCCAGACAAGTCTGGTACCAATTAACCGACCCCGGAGGGATGGAAGGCTTGGTTGGCCCGGGCGACTCACGACCCAGGATTTGATCCCGGACCGCTCGCGTGGTGAGCGCGCCACTTGTCACTACACCACTTCCGCCCGCGGAACGTGGATCTGAGAAAAAATTGTATACAAGGAAGGGTGCAATTGCTGAGGCCACGTGGCGGGATGGGTGGGGGAGTCGGAGGGGGTCGCAGTGCTGCGCGAAGTTTTCTACGATTTCCCACTTCTTTTCGCTTTGCTAGTACTTGTACCTGCTACATTGTTCGACTTCTGGGTTGTCAGAAAACACTTATATGAGGCGCGTTTTTTGGAACGGTGAAGTTCACCCCATCTGGAAGTGTCGCTGAGTTTTGGGTCTCATGTTGTTAAGGCTTTCGGAAGGAGCGAATTCGGAAGTCAGCGCTGGCCGCAGCAATCGAGCATTTTTAGGAGCGGCTAATTATTTTATCGGGTATATGTAGGTCGTCAAGATGTGCAGCGTGCACGCAAACCTCAACATCAGTGGGCTCAAGATAACTATAGTGGCTGTTGACCTATCTTCTGCAGTGCGTCTGATAGTGAATGCATAGTCTCGGCGGTCGTCCACGGGAACAGCACTATTCTTTGTCCTCCATAATGGTAGCTTGAGCCCCATCATTCACGATAAGAACGAATAGAACAGAAATATTGCGTTGCTATCCGTTCCAAGTCGCGCCGTACGAACCGTGAAATGTGGGGGTTTTCGAGTGTGCTCTTCGGGATTCTTTTCGGCCATTTCTGCCTCATTTTCGTACGTTTTCTCCACGAGAACTAGGTCTTCGTGCGTGAAACGTTCTTCGTTGTCGTTAGAGTGATCACAACTTGGAGTATTCATGCTGGAAAAGAATACAAGCATTGCCCGTGAAAGATTCCTGCAAAGGCAAGCCGCGGGGTTAAGCTCACTAGTAGAATCACGCTGCGAGTGAACATATTCGGTCCGTCTCTACAGTGGTCCATCACCTCCGTCGCACATGACAAGAGGATACGGAGCTGTTGGTTCAGGCCAACGTCGATTCCTATGCAACCTCCACCACAGGCTGTGAAAGGATCCTCAACGATGAGGGCGCCGGCTGCTGGAGGGTGAAATATTTACGAGGTAGCTGCTGAGCTAAGATGTTTCAAGGGTGAATATCGAAAAGATAAGCGAATTTGGTGTTGGCTATGTGTTGAGACGCCGTTCGGATAGACCTTTCCCATCTAGGTGGATGCTGCTAAGACTAAGACAGTGACGAGGAGGGCTTTTCGGGGTGATCGCGGTCTTCTACTGGCGTTTTTTCTTTTTCAGACACTTCCCCACCTTCGTTTATTGAGCGCTCTCACCCGCTCATTTTATCCCAGGGCTTGTTTTGAACCACTAAACACATTGAGTCTGGGTTAATTCATTAATCAAGGTTAACTTTGTGTACAGCTTTTGTTTTACAGCCTTTGGTTTCCGAGTTGATACCTTACGTGTGGGATGCTCATGGCAGTTGCTCTGTTCTCTGGGTGTAGCCCGATGGATGAAGGCTGGATTTGTGGCTTGTCGACGCCAGGTCTGTTAAGTCGCTCAAATAAAGTGTTTAGGAAAAAATTACTGTCTTTATCAGTCGCATGGGATAGGCTGTGTATCCAACTGACTCGCGCAGTTGTAGAGGTATTTTGGACGAACTGAGTTGCGGAGGCTTGTTAAAGAAGACTTTGTTGTAGGTGGGATCTTTTCCGCGATTCTGTTTTTCACTGTGTTACCACAAGAATAATGCAGATGTAATGATTAGAAAGCAAGATAAGAGCATAATATCAAGGGCATGGGAAAAATTTCACTGCTGCGGGAAGTGCTCGAGAAACAGTTTTTTTCGGTCCTGGAAAAAGTTGGGAGACGGATTTAAGATCAGCGTGCCGAACACATCTGTGAGTGTAGGTTTTATCATAAATGGCCACATCGAGTTGGGATCCATCTTTCGTGGATGTGGTTGATGTGACGAATGTGGTGGTTCTAAGTACATAAGTAGCAATGTAAGGCCACAGATGCTACCCACTCGTCTCTAGAAAGAGTTTGGCGAAACCAAAAATATTTTTGGAAAACTAAAGAGTTTTGACATAAAAGCGTGCAACTCAAGTGGTCTGTTTTGTTTAGTGGCTCGAAGATTAAACTCCCCGACGCTTGGATTACGGTTGTTAGTTTCGGTTTTGAGATTGGGCAGCCACGTGTTTTGGACAGTGTTCGGTGAGGAGAGCGTGGATGTGGGTGGGAGGATTCCTTTGCGAATGTTCAAAGTGAGCAGCTGCTATTTTTGAAAGTCGTAATTCGTATATCTGTAGTATAATATTGATTAAGTATTATTCAGACTTGTGGCGCCCTGTGGACCCATAGTACGACTCTTTAGCAACAGAACGCTTCTGCCTTTATCAGTAGGAACTATGAGATTCTGCCGTTACAACAGTCGGATGTTGGGATGTGGCCATTCGTATTCTATAAAAGGCTTGTTGGCAAGAAAATTTGTCAGGTCATGAGGTAGTCGTGAAATGTGCCTGAAGTATGGAAATTTTGCTGACAATAGTTTTAGTTGACTCATTCTCAACGTGGGGGGATTACGAGGAGATTGGATGGGCATCATGTATGAGGTGGCCCGCGGTCAGTCGCGGGGGGTCGTGAAGTGGGATGCGCTGAATTAATGCGCAGGGGTGAATAAAGCAGAGAAGTACGCAGACGCGCAGAAATGGCTTACCCTATCGCGTTTCGCTCGTTTACTCGTAATGGACAAACGAAACTGAATAAGTGTTCTTGTCGCACTGGTTAAACGGGATAGTCACCATCGATACGCAAGAGGCTATGCTTTCGAGTGGTAACCCGGTTCCATAGGAAAGAGTATGGATCGCGCTCAAGCGGGAATACCGTCATCAATGGGTAATTCGAAAGGGCTGCAGCGTGAGGGCGGGAGCACGGGTGTGCGCGGGAGACTCAGAATGCGCTGCCAGCTAGCGCACTTGAGCACGAAAACGCCACATCGCCTTCGTTCGTTCCTGAATTACTGCTCCGCTGGTGCATGTACTCCCACACGCACACAACTTGATCGTAATCTCTCGCTTAAGGAGGAATTCACGATTAGAATGAAGGTCGAAGAAGGAGTAATTCACCTAGTTGAGGGACCCACGGACCTCCTGAGGGTGCGAACTGACGCGCAATTGGCACCGAAAAATTTGACCTCGGCGACCTAGCATGGCTCACTCTTGGCGCGGTTGGCGGGGTCCGCCCACCGACCATCTGATCACTCGCCGCAGGTCTATACGTGGCGAGTGAGAGAGAGCGTAGTGTTGAAGAGGGCACAGCGATGAGTCGCATCAATGCTCAAATCAACGGGCAAGGAAGGGGTCCCATTTCTCGGGTTCTGGGCCGTTTCTCATTTCTTCCTTCTTTCGTGTACCACTCACCATCCCTAGGTTAATTTGAAATGGGTTGCTTTTTCATCGTGAATTCGTCCTTTAAGTTGACTTATTTTGCTAGACAATGCGCCTATCAAAGCAATAGTCTCGCTATACTGACTGCTGCATCAATTGCATGTGCTCCTGCCGTTCTAGCTCCTGATCCCGCTGTTTTGTTAATGTGAGGCCAAAAAAATCGAACACTCGTTGCCTTTCTAGAGCCTCTAGACAGACGAAAGCTTTGTAATTGATACGCCTATCGTCCCAGGCATGGCTTGAGTAGCTCAAGCGGGCGCCAGCAACGTCTCCATTCGTCCCTGTCGCGTGCAGAGTTGTCCAGTGGACCCTCCTCGCTCGAGGGACACGATGTCCTTCATTCCTTTCGTTCAGAGCTTTCGTGAAGAAGTCTGACCATCGGGCCGGCGGTCGTCCAGGTGTTCGTTTGACGTCCCGAGGGATCCAGTCGGTAACCGCTCTGGTCCAACGGTCATCATCGCATGCAGTGTCCAACCTACCTTGTGTTTTTACCTGATATTTTTTCTTGTACTAGCGAAAGAAACTGATCTTCGGCCGTTAACGGATTCACGTTAGAAAGTCAGCTCAAGAACTTCCGGAAATAGATGTCCTTTTGTGGCATTCAAACTGCTTTCCTAGCACTACAGAAAAAAGCTCAACCAGCCATGGTGGTATTTTTCGTCGCCATTTTTGACAGGTTATTCCTCCCACTGACTGACTGGGAGAAGGGACGTTGCTGATGACCTGTCTCGCTTGCTTTGCGGTGCTCTTTTCTCGCACCGAGACAAGAAATCTTGCGCGGGAGGGACGGTCCTATTCCGTGTAGGACTTCGTACCCAACAGCGATGTCGGTTAGTCAAAACCCGACGAATGGTCTGATATTCGTTAGGCTTTCGTACGAATCGATGTTTGTGAACAAGTGCGTGTTGAAGAGAACACCCAGAGCGCTTTCGCCTTTGTTGTCGCGTCACATGTTCCAAGTAATACTTCCTCCCCAGTGTCCGAAACCGCGTGAACAGCGGTATGTTCTCAATCGATGATGTCAGGCCTGATCTTCCCGGCTT